GAGGAGATACTGTACACCATATGAAGGTCCATCTCCATTCCTCAATATAACGTCATGTGACCAACAAATGAGGAGGAGATACTGTACACCATATGAAGGTCCATCTCCATTCCTCAATATAACGTCATGTGACCAACAAATGAGGAGGAGACACTGTACACCATATGAAGGTCCATCTCCATTTCTCGATATAACAATGACATCAGTGCCCATCCCCCGTCACTCAGTGTTGGTTTTGGTGTATTGTAGAATGTGTTTTTCATGTCATTTTGCTTTCTATCAGACGGCCGCCATGTCCGGAATACCTCGGAGGGAGATCTTCACTCTGAAGTGAATCACATGCGTCCAATGATACACCACAGAACACATTGTCTGGAGACATCAATGGATCCCTCTAATCCTGAGGAATCTTCTGACCAATCACATCACATGACTTCAGATATCCATCTCGGCTCCCACAGTGAAGATCCGTCTACAGATCCAACTATCCCCGAGGGATCTTCTCTCAGCCATGAAGGAGATCACACAGGAGAGAGGTCATTGTCATGTTTGGAGTGCGGGAAAGACTTTAAGATGAAATCTGAACTTATTCTACATCTCCAAACCCACAACCATGTGACCTTTTCATGTCCAGTGTGTGGGAAAGCTTTTTCTGAGGAAAGCAAGCTTCTTAAACACCAGAAATATCACAAGGGTGGGAATTCTTATTCCTGTTCAGAGTGTGGGAAAAGTTTCACTGATGAAACAAGCCTTGTTATACACCAGAGAATTCACACAGGTGAGCGACCTTATTCATGTTCAGAATGTGGGAAACGTTTTAGTAACCGACAACATTTTCTTAGACACCAGAGAATTCACACAGGTGAGCGTGCGTATTCATGTGCAGAATGTGGGAAAAGTTTTACTAGCAAAGGAGCTCTTCTTACACACCAGAGAACTCACACAGGTGAGCGTCCTTATGCGTGCTCAGAGTGTGGGAAAAGTTTTACTAGCAAAGGAGCTCTTCTTAGTCACCAAAGAATTCACACAGGTGAGCGTCCGTATTCATGTTCAGAATGTGTGAAAAGTTTTACTAACAACAGAGCTCTTCTTACACACCAGAGACTTCACACAGGTGAGCGTCCGTATTCATGTTCAGAATGTGGGAAATGTTTTACTAGCAAAGAAGCTCTTCTTAGGCACCAGAGTATTCACACAGGTGAGCGTCCATATTCATGTTTAGAGTGTGGGAAAGGTTTTGCTAAAAAAGAATCTTTTATTACACACCAAAGAGCTCACACAGGTGAACACCCTTATGCATGTTCTGAATGTGGGAAAAGTTTTTCTAGGAAGGACCATGTTCTTAGACACCAGAGAACTCACACAGGTGAGCGTCCGTATTCATGTTTAGAGTGCGGGAAAAGTTTTACTTACAAAGGATCCCTTCTTAGGCACCAGAGAACTCACACAGGTTAGCGTCCATATTCATGTATAGAGTGCGGGAAAAGTTTTACTGACAAATGAAACCTTATTTCACACAAAAAAATTCAGTTTTTCTGATACAAGACCCCGTCTTTCAGACCAAATAAT